CATTTTTTTATCTGTGACCATAAAAAAATTTGTGACCAATTAATTTAGAAATCTGTGACTGTATGACTTATAAATTTTGATCTGTGACCAACTAATTTTGAAATCTGTGACCAACGAATTAATTGTGACCTATAAAATTTTTGAACTCTGACCGTAAATTGTAAATCTGTGACCAGAATCGGAGCAGTCGTCGAAACGGTCATCGAAGAAGAGTGGTGATCGGAATGATCGCCGAAATAGTTTCTGGAACGGTATGGATGGTGCATGTGGGATGGGTTAATTATATTATATTATAATTAAATATTTAATAATAAATTGATTTAATAATTTATTATTTCATAAATAAAAAATAAAAAAAATCTGATTTTTAAATGGGTGGAATTGGTGTAAAGTATAACCTTGTTTATCAATTTTTCCCCCACATGTATCGTACAAGACTGTAGATTGACCTGGGCCGCTATCACGAATTACAAAAGAGACGGTCGGTCCCTTCGCTCAAGAGTCCATGTAATTCTTCCTTCTCTGTATCTTGTAGATGTATTTTCTCTGGTTTCTTGCCCTTCAATTTCCAATTTATCGTATTCTACTGCAAAAATATTGTAAATGCATTTTTTTTCCTTTAATCTGTCAAGAAAGCTTACTGAGTAACTCAGTAACACAACGTGTAAAAGATTGGGTTTATATTTTCTGTTAAGGAAAACAAAGAAAGAGAATGAAATAATCAATTTTTTTAGGAGAAGGCGACATAAAGCTGAGAAATTTAATGTGGGCGTTGCGAATATATTTGTGGAAATTGGTATAATGCTGTTACAAGATCAAATTTACATGGGCACTTGAATTTGTTGTTAAATGAGGTTGATCCAGCCAGCCCCTCTCCCCTCCTTTTGCGTGGTGTTTGCTGGTAAAATATGCAGAGATATTGTTATACATAGGCTTGCTTAATTTCTGAATCGGATATAAGTTTTTTGGATTTTAAGTGTTATAAGCTTGGCATGTTTGATGTCCAGCATAACAAACAAGATGGTATCCAATCAAACTTACTAAACATACCATAAGTGTAAAGGGTCTGGATGGGGGGAATTTTGGTGTGGAAGCGTTTACGAAATTCTTGTAATAAGAATTATATAATAAACTAAGCAGAATATTGGAATAACTTGCTTTGTTATTGAATGAATAATAATTGATGTTGTCTACAATACTTCTATATTTATAGACAAAATTATTTCATTCTTCTACTAATAATAGGAAACTAAAATAAGGAAACTAATAAAATCCTAATCTAATTAGAAATCATATTTTAATCAATAAAGAAATCATATTCTAAACAAGAAATAAAAATAAAAAGAAAAACCCTATTAGAACTAGTAAAGAAAACTAGAAAAGATATTTACAATTGTAGTAGGAAGTTACTAATCATGATTATGTACTACATCAATTTTGATGGTGGTGGTTTGAGAGTGAATTAGGGAAGTTACTCAGGTTCGTTAAAATGGGATGTAATGTTTACTCTTAAACCCATGGATTGGGACACACAAATGATAGTTGCCGAATGTCATAAAAAGGATTAGTCTTTGAACACCAATTAGTTTTCAAATTAGATGGTTAAAGCCTGATTGCACAGATATCAGACCGAAGCTCCAGTTCAAGCCACAAGAACTTCATGTCGAGGGAAGGATTGTTAGGGAGCAACAATGCTGCTCTTAAGCCCATGACTTGGATCGCTCAAGTTACGATTGTCGAATGCCATAAGAGGTTTAGCCGTCCCTTAATTTACAGCAATTGGTTATGGTTAAAGCTCGATCCTACAAACATCTTATCAAGTATTCAAAGTGCCCACACCTTTCATTTAAGTAGAATAAAAATTCTGCACAAGCTTTTGCATGTATAGATATCTGATTAAAATTCTTTCCAATGAGTTAAACTTTGCTCTGAGTGTACTTTTGGTGATGTTTACATGTCTTGATCTTCTGTCTTTTAATAGTATCTTCCAACAATTTGTTGGTGCCTGCTAGAATAGTAGTCGTCTTACATTCTTTCTTTCAGTTTCTCAACATGTCGAGAATCACGTTTTTGTGTGATTTTAGTTTCTATCCATTATATAGATACATATAAGAGCAGGCACCGCCCAATTAGAGGGATGATGATATTTGCTGGACATAAGCTGCTTGCTTCTTTAACTCGTACTCATTCGTTATCCTAAAACCCCATGGCAAATCATTGACGAACTTATTTTGTAGAAATACTTCAAAATCGAGGAAACTACATTCCTTCCATCAAAAGTACCAATATCACACAGAATCCATAATGGTTATTGCTCGCTATCCTCCTCCTTGGTTCAGGTGTGTTTCTTGAGCTTTAGGTCAGTTTATTTTCAGTTGGTGGATTAGTTGATTTTGTGACCCTTTATAGTTGTTGTACTTTCAATTCAGTGTTGCTCCCATGATGGAGTGGACAGATAATCATTATAGGACTATGGCTCGGCTCATCTCGAAACATGCATGGCTATACACCGAAATGATTGCTGCAGAAACAATTGTATATCAGAAGGGGAATTTGGTAATATTAGTTAGAGTTCTTGTCTTGAATTTCTTTCAGTTGGCAAGCAGAAATGTTTTATTTTGTGAAAGCTCTGATCTGCTAACAAAAAGAAAAAGTAGAGCACACAGACACAAGCATAAATACCAATGAAAAACTCACTTTTTCCACAATGCTAATGTTATTTAAAGGAGCTGTATCATATTTTGTTTCCAGAGAAGATTATATCCAATCTCACAAGGATGTTAGAATTTTGCTGGATTTTCTACTTCCACAGTTTCTATTAATTGATGTGTTTTTCTTGGAACATTTCTGGTATAAATACTTCAATGTACTTTAACTTGAGAAGTGGTGCATCTTTTTTAGTTAGGATTCCACTTCACATTTTACTTGATCTACAATTTCTTGGCATATCAGGATAGATTCTTGGCGTTCAGTCCGGAGCAGCATCCTATAGTTCTTCAAATTGGGGGAAATAATTTGGAAAACATTGCTAAAGCAACTCAACTTGCAAATCCTTATGGATATGATGAGATTAATTTCAAGTTGGTTTCTGCATTTTTAAATATTCTTGGATTCCTCGCTCTTTCTCTCATAACTGAAACCAATACATTTTATAACAGCTGTGGATGTCCAAGCCCAAAGGTTGCTGGACATGGGTGTTTTGGGGTGCGTCTTATGCTTGATCCAAAGGTGTGTGTAATGGCTCTGGACTTATTTGAGAGGATGTTGTATGTGGATGTGTTTTGACATAGTTATATTGTCTTTTACAATGAAAGTTTGTAGCTGAGGCCATGTCAGTAATTGCAGCAAATACAGATGTTCCTGTTAGTGTCAAATGCCGAATTGGTGTTGAAGATCACGATTCATACAATGAGCTATGTAAGTTCTTCCACTTCTTTCTTTAAAAGGCGAAAAAGAAGGTTCTTTGAATAAGAACTTTTAACTAGCCATTCAAGATTAAATTGTTCTTTTACTTTAACACTCATGTGCGGTTTTCACATCTTCGTTTTTATCTTTTGGGATCTAGTAGATGGTTGTTCAGACACTCTAAAAGACTTAGCATTTGTTTTACTTGTAACTAGCTATAGCCATAAAATATTAAGTTGCCTCTTTCCCCTTTGTTTTTCAACTCTGTTTGTGGTGATCAGTCTTGCTCATGCTTATAAATGGTTCCTGGAAGTGATTTTTCTTAAGTTATAGACCTGTGACATCCACATTTAGTATAGTCAAATTCGCGTAGTTCTAAGATTCAACCATGGTTATTATCTGAGAGTTTTCCTAAAGAGTAAAGTGAGGTTTTGATGTAGGACAATTCTATTGTAAATAAGATTAAGATTAGATATTTATAATAAGATGTCTAGTTGTAATAAGTTTTATCTTTTATTCTAATATTTTGCTTAGAATATGATTTCTTTTCTTTATTGATTAGAATATGATTTCTAATTTCTTTTAAATTGGGCTTTTAATTTACTTCCTTTTAGAATTTAATTCCATTATATTAATAGGATTAAGGAATAATTTTGTCTATAAATACATAGGCAATGTACGATTTTAAACAACAATCAATTATTGTTCAATATATACAAGACATAATTGTTCAAATATTGTTCTTATTTATTACATAATTCTTATTGCAAGAATTTCACATAACGCTTCTGTACCAAAATTGGTATTAGAGCAAAGAGATTGCCTCAATCTGATGGCTGACTATGGTCCTTGTGGTAGTCGAACCATCGACGACGAACAAAGACTCGACAAACTAGAACAACGAATTAAGAGGATTGATAAAACCCTTCATAACATCACGCAGATGTTGACTGCGTTGAGTTTTGAAAGGAATCGGGAGCCCGCGGAGAAGCAAGTTGACAAGAATTTACAGACCTTAACTGCTATGAATATTGGTTGTTTCAACAAGTTTAGAACATTGCAACATAAGGCTAGAGAATTTCCTCGAGTCCCAGCCAAATTCAAATACACACAAGTTATCAAGGATTATTTTCTTCAACAAAACTCGAGGACGAGTTTTTTTCAAGTGGGAGAGATTGATATAGTACAATCCTATTGTAAATAAGATTAGGATTATATATTTATAATAAGATGCCTAGTTGTAATAAGTTTTATCTTTTTATTATTTTAATATTTTATTTAGAATGTGATTTCTTTTCATTATTGATGAGAATATGATTTCTAATTTCTTTTAATTTAGGATTTTAATTTATATCCTTTTAGAATTTATTTTTCTTATATTAATAGGATTAATGAATATTTTTGTCTATAAATACAAAAACACTGCAATTTTGAACAATCAATTATTATTCAATATATNAAGACATGATTGTTCAAATATTGTTCTTATTTATTATTTAATTCTTATTACAAGAATTTCACATAACGCTGTACTAGGTTTTCTTTATATATATATATATTTTATTTTTTTATTTTTTTTTGCTCACCCATCAGCTGAAAATTAAGCTAATCAAGGCGCAAACATATTAATGACCAATTTACATTGCCATCTAGTATAAAACATAATATTGTTACGTGTTGTAGATGTTAAAATTTTTCTTATTTCGTTTTGTATTTTTGGATAAAATGTATGATGTAACTAGTTATTTACTGATCTAGTCATATTCCTGTGATGCTGGGAGTATGTGCACATTCACATTCACAGGCACAGTGATTTACTAACTACCTGCACAGTTTGTCTGCTCCCACGTCGTCCATATAAATGGATTCCCTGAAGTTTTATTTTACATCATTTCATCAATGATTTCGTGTGCCAATCTGCTTCTTTTTTCAAGGATTTATGTAAAAAATATGATTGGGATAAAGTTGGTATTATCCTGATTTATTGGCCCCATTTTCTTTCTCTCCAGGTGATTTCATATATAAGGTTTCGTCTCAATCACCAACTAAGCATTTCATAATACACTCGCGAAAGGCATTACTTAATGGAATTAGCCCAGCTGAGAATAGAACAATTCCTCCCTTGAAGTATGTATTTAGTTGCTATCAAGTACTTATTTATTATTTATCTAATCTACAGAAGTTAATGTGGCGTTCACTTATATTAGCTTCTCTGATCTTTTGTGTCCTTGTATAATGAGAATTGGTTTATTTATTATTATTTTTTTTGTGTATTTACTATTCATATTGTAGGTATGAATACTACTATGCTCTCGTGCGTGATTTTCCTCATCTGCGGTTTACTATTAATGGAGGCATAAACACCGTTGATGAGGTAAGTGTCATGTTCAGACCCATTGTCAAATGCACGAAGTCTTGAAGTGGATGTTAAAATGCTATGATAGCTGTCTTGTTATATGTAAAACAATAGTTTATACTGTAAAGATCCGATAACTCCTTTAACCTTTAACTTTTCTTCCATTATCACCTTTAAATCATTTTCCTTAATTTCTTTTTTCTGACATTGATGTCTATTGTATAACTTAGCTCCTTTAATATAGTGTTGAAGGTGGGTCTTTGTGTCAGATTCAGCAGTTGATTTCCAAACCTATAAACATGAATAAATCATTAGCTTGTTCAGGGATTTTTTTACTTGCTTTGACAATCTTTTGAACAAGTCCCTTTTTTTATGTGAAGTCTTAATACCTGATAAAGATTGTAGAGTGATGAATATTTTTAGTTTAACTTGTTGATGTGTTTTAAATGAGTCTCTCTGAGGTTGTGTTTTTACACTGCCGATCTATTTATCCAATCAGTTATAATCCTTCATGTTAAAAAGGCAGTTTTTCTCCTAGCACCCAAATATTTAAATGAATCCAAGACTGAACTCCCATGTTTTAGTCCCCTAAATCTAGATCCCCAGACGAGTAAGACTTATAAGACATTTCTTTGCGAAATACTTCCTTCTTTATTCATTGGGATGTTTGGGAAGAATTTATGATTGGAGAAGAACCCACCCCACCTGCCCACACAAAGCACCAACAGAAGAAAAGGAGTCGGTGGAAAAACCAATAAAAAGCAACCATTAAAGGAAATAATACAGAGTTTACACGCATTAGGCATTATTGAACTATGGACATGATTTTATACATTCCTCATCAACTAAGTTGGAACCCTATGCAGATTTAGAAGATTATACCACGAGTGATTTACATCATAATGCTTGTATCTTGCTTAAAATGTTGTGTAAATAAAGGTCAGTAGGATCTTTGTTTCCTATTCTCTATTGACATTTTAACCCGTAGGTGAATGCAGCAATAAAGGAAGGGGCCCATGGAGTAATGGTTGGACGTTCTGCATACCATAAGTATGAACTGTGTGAACTTGATATAATTTACTTTTTTCCTTCCACTATTTTTTGAGTAATTTTGATTTTAACAGCCATACACACTCTTTCTAATGTATAGAGATTTTGTTGTCTCTGTCATTAAGTAATTGAATGCTCGATTTGACATCTTATATATTGCCTTGACTTTTGTTATATGATACTTTTTTAAACTGATCTTTGAGCCGTATGTTTATTTTATCCTTATTTGAACTCTCTTTTTGAGAACTTTAGTTTTACGAAAATTGTCAACACAAAGACATCCACAGCTGTGGGTATGACAGTCTCACGTGAATTAAAGATCTATGATTGTAATTCTTTTTATTTTGATGTTCACTGTGACTCTTAAGATACTCGTTCTAAAGCTCCAAGAACAACTTGGTTGTTTAACCCAGCATTTGTAGTGCAACAGCGGAAGTTGAATCTTGTAAAAACAAGAAAAAGCTCAAGAATATTATCTAAAATAACTTGAATAATAACGAAGGCTAGTCTTCTTCTTATATAAGCATTGGAAGAATAGGTAATCTCCTAATTCTGGTAGACTAAGTAAATGAAATTTATCTCCTAAAAAGAAAGAATACATGATCGTTTGATTTTCCGCAAGTGAACGGGATCGTGAACAAGTAAATAAAGTAGTGAATAGAGTGTCGAACCCACGAAAATTACGTGTTTGATCCAGTTAAAATTAATTACAACTATAATTGAATAGCAACAAATATTGTGATTTTTGTATACTAATCCTTGAATTATCAATTAAACTAATGGAAATAAGCAAATGTGTTTTTCAAATA